AGAAAAGGAGACAGTTGGCGTGAGCATACACTGCTGGTGGTTGTGCCTTGCAAGCATGCACCCACACGAATTCATACACTCGTCACACACACACACACACACACACACACACACACACACACACAATGCACACACACACAATGCACACACACACACACAATACGTGTGCAACAAGCAGGCGTGCTCGCACCTGGCCGGGCTGGCTTTGTGACTCGCGAACAAGGTACATGCCGTCGACATTGTGTTCCTTGAGCAGGTACTGTGCGCCGTTGCGCGAGATGGCGCCATGACACCAGTCGTTCAACTCAAGCGCACCTGGTGAACAAGACAAAGACGTCAGAGCACAGGCAGCAGTTATCAGCCGTGACATCATGATTCATTGAACCTTGGCATGAGGAGAGCCGCATTCGCACACACACACACATGTACAAGAAAGCGCAAGCACGCGTCATGGTACGGTGTGGAGAGTGTGTAGCGGCAACGAGAATGGCACCTTCCACATGGCGTGCAGCCACGCGTGCTCACCTTCGATGGCAATGAGGTCTGCTGGGACGTAGCCCTTCTTCTTCGTGTTCAGGTTCTGCGCGCTCCACCACCTTGTATTGCAGCACACATCAATCGCACGACGACGTCAGTCCCAAGCAAGCACAGAAGATAACAAAGAAACAACATCGCAAGCTGCGCAGGGAACACACGCACACACACTCGCACACTCGCACGCACGCACACCGCACGCACGCACACACCACTTCGCCATGCTCACTTGTCATCATCCTTGGGTGGCTTGAGGATCTTGAGCCTGTCGCCCTTGGAGAAAGAGAGCTCTGATTTGTTCAAGGCATTGTAGTCATCCAACCCGACGTACACCACCTGTTTCCTTCGAATGCTCATGTTTGGTCTGTACGTAAATACACGCATGCACGTGTGTGTGTGTGTGTGTGTGTGTGTGTGTGTTGGGCGTGAGCGATGAGGACGATAAAAAGGAAGAGGCGGAGAGGGAGGAGGACTGTTGTGCATACATGTACATGTTGTTGTCGGTGATGGGTGTGTTGTTGGTGGTGGGTGTGTTGTTCTTCTCCGCCCCCTTCATGTCATGTCACACGTCGCGCTCGCTCACTCTCTCTCCCCCTTCTTCCTCCGTCTTCACCTTTGCCTCGCCCTGTTGTGCTGTGACCAGCGGGGTGCGCTCTTCTTTCCGTCCTTGAGCGCGCTTTGCTTGCTGCTGATGCGATTGCCCTGGCTAAGGAGGAGCTTGCAGCTGAACACACTCTCACACACGCACAGATCAACCAACACCACACCACCACACCACAACAACGCGATGGAATGGAAGGAAGGAAGGAGGAGGGGTGTTGTTTTGGGGGGAAGTTTGGAGTGGGAGGCGCCCAACAGCACAAAAAATATTCGCGAAGCTCGAAATGTATTTTTTTTTTGTGTGTTGCGGGGACCCCTGCTGTCACCGATGACAGGTGAGTGAAGAAGAGGGAGGACAGCAGTGCATGGCCGCAACATCTCTTTGCACACACTGCACCAGTGCACCCACTATCATTTACATCCAGACACACGTTCACACAAACACATCACACACACACACACATCACACACACACACACAGACACAGACGGAAACACAGTGTGCCATGGCGTTTCATGAGCTGAGGGCCACCAAGGCCAACGGCACGCTGTTGGACTTTGCGTCGCTCAAGCAGAACATCGTCCTCATCACGGTATGTATGTGCGTGTGTGTGTGTGTGTGTGTGTGTGTGTGTGTGTAGCGTTGGGAGGGAGACGGAAAGTACATGTGTGGGAGGAGAGCCACCTGCGTGCTTTCTGGTGTGTTTGTGGTGACGCCATCTCATGCACACGTTGTTTCTCTCAGAACGTGGCGTCCCGTTGTGGCTTCACCCACTCCCACTACAGTGAGTGAGCGTGCGACAATCACTGCTTGGCTGCTTGCTTGCTCCTTGCAGCTTCCCCCCCCCCAATTGCTTCGCGCCACGGCTGTGCACACGCACGCACACTCACACACGCGCGCGCGCGACACATGCACTCACACACTCGCACACTCACACACTCACACACTCACACACTCACACACTCACACACTCACACAATCACATTACACAGCGGAGCTGGCAGAGGTGTATGCCAAGTTCCAGCACCGTGGGCTACGCATCCTGGCCTTTCCCTGCAACCAGTTTGGACGCCAGGAGCCCGGCACAGACGCGGAGATTGAGTCACACGTGTGCAACAAGTACAACGCCACCTTCGACATCATGTCCAAGATTGACGTCAACGGGCCCAACACCGACCCCGTCTACACCTTCCTCAAGGAGAACGTACGAGAAGCAACCGGCACATTGTGTGTATGTGTGTGTGTATGTGTGTGTGTGTGCAAACGGCAGTGCTTGTGCCTTTGGTCACCCGCCTGAGGTGCTCTGTCCTGCCGGGAATCGGATGTTACCCCTTCCTTCTTCACCACATCCCTCGCTTCCACCCTTTCCTCCACATGCCTGCTGATTCTCTATCAACACAAACACACACAACACAACGCACGCACACACGCACAACCATCCAACAACACACACGCACACACGCACAACCATCCAAAAACACACGTGCACGCACATGACGCAGACGGACGGGCAAGACATTCGGTGGAACTTCCGGTCGTACTTTCTGGTGGACAAGGCGGGCGCCATGCAGCGGTTTGACGGCAAGAGCCCGCGCGACCTCATCTCCGCCATCAACACCCTCCTCCCGCCCGAGGAGAACCCAGACGATGACAAGGACTAGTCGGGGGAGAAGCAGGACGCGCGTGCAGTTGATGGTGTGGTTTGTGTTTCCGACATTAAATAAAGTAGTGCCCACACGACAAGAGGGAAAAATGGATGCGGCCTGGGTTGTGCTTGGGATCGCCGCGTCTTGTGCCGGCATCGCAGAGGGTGCGTCCGTGTCTGTGTCTGTCTGTGTCTGTCTGTCTGTGTCTGTGTCTGTGTGTCTGTGTCGATGTGTGTGTGTGTGTGTCTGTGTCGATGTGTGTGTGTGTCTGTGTGTGTGTGTCTGTCTGTCTGTGTGTGTGTCTGTCTGTCTGTCTGTGAGTGATCAAGTCAACTGTGAGAGGCGTGCACTGTATGCGACGTTAACCTCTTCAGCCGGTGCACTCTGTCTTCCTGCTGTTGCTGCCGCTTTTGTTTTTTGTTTTTTTGATGTGCATCATCATTGTAGGTATCAACCATGTGCTGATTTACCGCACGTCCAAGTTCAAGTCCCTCAAGACATCACTGGACGCAGCAGCAGAGAAAGGTGTGTGTGAACCTGATACTGGCTGTGCGTTCTCCGACCTGCCTGACAACTTCTTCCATGTGTGTGCGTGTTATGTTCGTGAGCCTGCAGTGTAGTGCAATCTCATACATCATACCTTGCACATCCTTCCCCCCCCCCCACTGCGCCACCATCACAACGCTCTTCAGTGGAGAAGCACAAGCAGGAGCCCGACTTCCACGATGGTGCATTCGTGGACAAGAAGAAGCAGAAGAAATTCGGTGTGTGTGCATGTGTGCGTGTGTGCGTGTGTTGACACCTGTGTGAGAGTGGTCCGCACACAAGCAATGGCACAACCTCGCACACACACACACACACACACACACACACACACACACACACACACACACACACACACACACATTCGCTCCCTGACTCACTCACTTATTTTCGCACACATTAACTCCCCACCCCTCCCTCAACACACAGAGCAAGACGAGAGCCAGATGAAATCCCTCAACCAGGAACTCACCATGGTGAGCTGACTCAACGCGTCACAACAGTGGCTCTCCTTACTGACACAACGCATGTGCTTTGCGTTTCATCCAGCCCTCATATATCTCATGCAACACTCACACACACACACACACACACACACACACACATACCATACTGTCCTGCCTGTCCACACCCATGTGCTCAGCTCAAGTTCAAGTCCAACCTCGTCATTGGCCTCAGCTTCATCGTCCTCATGGGTGTCTTCAACTCAATGTCAGTCAATGGAGGATGACGGAGCGTGGCAACAGTGAGACTGTGCTCGCGTGTGTGTGTGTGTGTGTGTGTGTGTGTGTGTGTATGTGTGTCTGTGTCTGCAGCTGTGTCTGTGTCTGCAGCTGTGTCTGTGTCTGCAGCTGCGTTTGCCATATGATTGTGTCTGTGTCTGTGTGCACGCGTACCTACGTCCGCAACAACAACAACAACAACAACAACAACAACAACAACAACAACAACAACAACAACAACAACAACAACAACGATGTGTTGTGCCGTCTTCCTCCTCACCATCCCCTTCATCCTCCACCACCACCACCACCGCCACCTTCAGCTTTGAAGGTGTGGTTGTTGCGCGGTTGCCGTTTGAGCCGTTCTCCCTCCTCCGCAACGTAACGCACCGCAATCTGCCTGGCGAAGACTACACGGAGTGCGCGTTTATCTTCCTCTACATCACGTGCACCATGGCTATTCGACAGGTGCGCTGTGGCGTGGGCGACAGAAAGGGGGCATGTGGGTAACAGTTGCAGGTGGAGAGAATATGCGCATCAAGCCAGTGGGGACTGTGATACGAATCTTTCGCGGCACTGCCCTCATGCACAAACACTCACTGACACGTCTGCAAACAACGCCCACACACGTTCTCACTCACACACACACACACGCACACACACACACACACACACACACACACACACACACACACACACACACACACACACACACACACACACGCGCGCGCGCGCGCGCGCGCGCACACGTGTGCCCGCGTCTGTCAGAACTTGCAAAAGGCGCTTGGGGTGACACCGTCGCGTGCGGCAGCGAAGATCACACCCTTTGGCACCACAACATGATGTAGATGGCACACCCTTCCTCTGTCGCCCTGTTCCTGCTATCGCCCTGTTCCTGCTATCGCCCTGTTCCCGCGTGTCAGATGAGCACGAGCAGCATTGTGCTTTGATTGTATCAATCCAATTCGACCCAAAGTTAATGAGAGTTGTAACTGTTGTGGCGCACACACACACACACATACACACACACATGCACACACACATACACACACAAAGAACGCAAACACACACACACACATATTTGCACAAATACACATACGCACACACATATGCACCCCACACACATGTACACGTCGCACGAAGAGACAACGCAGTTCCCAATGCTCAAATGTTCCAGTTGCCCCGTGCTGTGCTGCGGTATGGGCAATTGAGGGTTTGGCGTGTGATGGACGAACTCAACAGAGAGTGGAAGCACGAAAACTTGCGACTGCGCTGGCTGGCAAGCAATGATATGAAGGAGAACACAAAAGGAGTAAATGCCCCAAGCGGGATGAACAGGATCAGTGGCAGAAGCAACAAAGAAAGTGGCTCTACAAAAAAAAAAAACAAAAAAAAAAACAGGCGCATCCTCTATTCCCCCACTCCACCCCCACTCTTGCGACCAACAATGGATAGCAATGACAAACAACAAGAACAACAATTGCATCCCACACATCACCCTGTCACCATCGCAGCACACAACCCACATCCCACACCACGCATTGTTCTATTGTTACAGTGCCAAGAACATGCATGCAGGCACTGCAAGCAGGAGATAAGAAAGGGCGCGTGTCTTCATAGTCCATGTCAAGTGGCGGGACGCATGCGGCTGCGAAGGGCACTGCACCAGTCACCAAGGGTGGTATCAGAGCGCTCGTCCAGGCGGAAGGTGAACAGGCGGCCAGGAACAGCGACATGCAGCTCCCCACCGTCTTGCGCAAGAGTAACTGACTGTACAATTGACAACGAGATACGCCCACGTTCTGACAGGCCAGGACCCTTGCTGTAAGTCAGGCTGGCATCGGCAAGCTCGCACCAGCGTGTGCGAAAGGCCGTGTTCCACAGCCCTCGCTTCTGCAACCAGCCGGTGAACGGCTGTGTAGGGAGCTGGGTGTCGTGCTGCTCCGCGCCATGACTACGTCCGTGCATTGACCTTAAACCAGGCGCTGAAAGTACGACAGGTACTTCAGACACGTTAACTGCTGGTTTTCCTTCGTTCTTTTCGCCACCTTCGCTGTCTTGGCTTTCTCCTCCTTCCACTCCAACTTTCTCCTTCTCCTTCTCCTTCTCCTTCTCCTTCTCCTTCTCCTTCTCCTTCTCCTTCTCCGTCTCCTTCTCCTTCTCCTTCTCCGTCTCCGTCTCCGTCTCCGTCTCCGTCTCCTTCTCCTTCTCCTTCTCCGTCTCCGTCTCCGTCTCCTTCTCCTTCTCCTTCTCCGTCTCCGTCTCCGTCTCCTTCTCCTTCTCCTCATTCTCAGCATGCAGCGGGACTGTAATGACTGCACGTGCCCTGTCCATGTTACCGCGGGTGCACCGCAGCTTGCGCTCCGCCTTGCACGTGCGTGGGTGATCTGGTCCAAGCGTGGCAGAGTAAGCATCAAACGCAAGCTGCATGTAGGTGCACGCCTGCTTCTTGTCGCCGTGTCGGTCATGCAGAAGGCCAATGTTGAAGTACGCCTGGGCTGTTTTCGTATGCTTCTCACCAAGCGTCTCCACCTTGATGTCGAGACTCTTCTGGTAACACTCAATGGCTCTGTCGTGCTCGCCTTTGCGCTTGAACACGATGCCCAGGTCGTTGTACGAGTCTGCTGTTTTCGTATGCTTCTCGCCAAGCGTCTCCACCTTGATGTCGAGACTCTTCTGGTAACACTCAATGGCTCTGTCGTACTCGCCTTTGCGCTTGAACACGATGCCCAGGTCGTTGTACGAGTCTGCTGTTTTCGTATGCTTCTCACCAAGCGTCTCCACCTTGATGTCGAGACTCTTCTGGTAACACTCAATCGCCTTGTCGTGTTCACCCTTGTCGGCGTACGCGTTGCCCAGGCTGTTGTACGCCTGGGCTGTTTTCGTATGCTTCTCGCCAAGCGTCTCCACCTTGATGTCGAGACTCTTCTGGTAACACTCAATGGCTCTGTCGTACTCGCCTTTGCGCTTGAACACGATGCCCAGGTTGTTGTACGACGCGGCTGTGCTCGGGTGCTTGTCCCCCAACAACTCAGCTGTGATGGTCAGGTCCTTCTCATAACACTCAATCGCCTTGTCGTGTTCATCAATGTCAGCGTACGCGTTGCCCAGGCTGTTGTACGAGTCTGCTGTTTTCGTATGCTTCTCACCAAGCGTCTCCACCTTGATGTCGAGACTCTTCTGGTAACACTCAATCGCCTTGTCGTACTCGCCTTTGCGCTTGAACACGATGCCCAGGTTGTTGTACAAGTCTGCTGTGCTTGGATGCTTCTCACCAAGCGTCTCCACCTTGATGTCGAGACTCTTCTGGTAACACTCAATGGCTCTGTCGTACTCGCCTTTGCGCTTGAACACGATGCCCAAATTGGTGTATGCCTGGGCTGTGCTTGGGTGTTTCTCACCAAGCGTCTCCACCTTGATGTCGAGGCTCTTCTCATAGTACTGAATGGCCTTGTCGTGCTCGCCCTCGTCAGCGTACGCGTTGCCCAGGTTGTGGTACGAGTCCGCTGTGCTTGGATGCTTCTCACCAAGCGTCTCCACCCGGATTTCGCAGCTCCTCTCAAAGTAGTGAATGGCCTTGTCGTGCTCGCCCTTGTCAGCGTACGCGTTGCCCAAATTGCTGTACGACGTTGCTGTGCTCGGATGCTTGTCCCCCAACAACTCAGCTGTGATGGCCAGGTCCTTTTCATAGTAGTGGATGGCCTTGTCGATGTCGCCTTTGTCGGCGTACGCGTTGCCCAGGTTGTTGTACGAGTCTGCTGTGCTCGTGTGCTTGTCGCCGAGCGCCTCCACAAACACCTCTTTCGCCTTCTCGTAATACCCAATGGCCTTGTCGTATTCCCCCTTGCTATTATACGTGGCCCCCATGCCCATGTACGTCTGGGCTGTGCTCGGGTGCTTCTCGCCAAGCGCCTCCACAAACACCTCCTCTGCCTTCTCGTAATACCCAATGGCCCTGTCGTATTCCCCCTTGCCGCTGTAGGTGATGCCGAGGTTGTTGTACAGGACCGCCACATTCTTTCCTTCCTCCCCCTCAGTGCGCAAGCAAATCGCCAGGGCTGTCTGGTAGTACGCGATGGCCTGATCGTGTTCGCCAAAGTCGCTGAGCAAGCTCCCAACGTGGCTGCACAACCCTGAGAACGCCTTTGTCTCGTCCTCGCCCCGTGCCCGCATCGCCTCCACCGCAGCCACCGCCTTGTCCAGGCACCAAGCGCGCAGCTGGTCCTTCACAGCCTGGTTGAGAGCCGCAAAGCCAACGCCGTCCTGTATGGCTTCGAAGATCATGTCTTTGTCGTGCGGGTTGAAGGCCTCCGCCCGCTGTGCTTGCACGCACACAAGCGTGTTCATGACGGCGTCGTAGTCCTCATAGATGGCCCGTTCCAGTGCCTTCTCCTCGCTGTTGGGCAGGCGGATGTTGACCTCTGTGCCCTCGTTGCTGATGCCGCAGAAGATCTCCCATAGGCACCACGCGCGCGTCAGTGGGACGGGGTCACGCCACGGCATCAACACCAGCAGCACGCGCCCAATGTTGGCAATCGACTCCTTGAACGTTGTGCTCCACCTGCAGTTAGCAGGGGGTGGTGTGGATGGGAGAGGAGGAGAGGGCGTGTGGGGATGTGGGAGTGTGCAAGAAACGGTAAAGTACCAACAACACACATGAAGACAGACAGACACACACAGTTGCACACACACACATACACACACAGACACACAGACACACACACACAGACACAGACACACAGACACAGACACAGACACAGACACATACACACACAGACACACAGACACACAGACACACAGACACACACACACACACACACACACACACACACAAAACGCACCACTCTTGTGGGAGGTTGGCCGTGACGTTGGCGTTTTGGTTGTTCATGAAGAGGTCAAACCAGAAGAACACGGGCTGGCTGTCTTCCTTCCTTCCTTGCTCATCCGCAAACTCGAGCAACACGTTCAACACGTCTACGATCTTGTACCGCCACGCGTGCGACACAAACACGGTGGCCTTGCCCACATCGTTCTGTGGTGACTGCTTGCGCAAAAAGTCCACGTACGCGCAGTTGTCCTGCTGGGTGCGTGGCACCACGAGCTGCTTGCAGGCATCCTCCGTCGTCATCTCAGTGTACGTGTTGGGAAACTCGCTCTGCAGGTCTGCGAGGAAGGTCTTGACCGCGTCCACAGACACGCCGTCCGTCAGGCGGTGCTCATTGTCGTCATCGGCCATGGTAGGGGCAGGAGAGACGGTGGGTGCCCTGGTGCTGTGGTGGCTGGTTCGCTTTCTCTCTCTCTCTCTCTCTCTCTCTCTCTCTGTGTGTGCTTGCTTCTTGCTTGCTTCTTGCTTGCTGCTTGGTGGCTTGCAGGAGAAAAAAAAATGGCACTTCCACCGACCCCACCACCCCCGCCCACCACGCCTCCACGCTTACCACCCAGACTGTCAGCAATGCCAACCTCCCCCCCCCCAAAAAAAAAACCGAATAAAAAGGACACGCCCCCTTGCACCCACTCCTAGACTCCTTGTTCTTGTTCTTGTGTGCTCATTCTTCGCTACCCTGCTACCCTCAGTACCCTCTTGCGGGAAGAGGGGAAGTCACACTGGCTGCTGCTGCTTCTTCCTCTTCAACTCTCCCTCTGCGCTTCCTCACTTCACGAACTCGACCTGAACTGCGGACTGTCAAACACATACCCGCAGACCCGCACGCTCCTCATAGCCTGCATATCGTGGCGTCATATCGCGGTTCAGTCTCGCGTCTCCTCTTCTTCGGAGCTGTCATGTCATCACTATGTGTCACATCACGGCTCTCCTCGCATTTCAGTCTCCCGGTCACCTTCACTCGTTTCATCGCAACTCCAAAACAAAACGCTGGTGTGTAATGAGTAACATAACAGCACTCAAGTCATGCAACACGCAAGCCAGCAAACCAGAAAGACAACAAATGATGAGAGCGCTCTAGTAAATTCAATCAACAAGCAACTGAAGCGGCAAGGAATAGCTGCTGCTTATTGCCATGTAACAGTCCACTTTGTGGCATTGCGGCCGTGTACTTGCCCCCATTGAAAATAACTGCCCGATTGTAACTCACTGCAGTCTTATGCTTCAGCCGGCACAAGAAGCCCAGAATGTGCACACTTGGAATGCTTGGAATCATAAAGCGTTGTCCAAACCTTCTCCAGCTCTCTCCCCAGCCAACGCATCCCCCAACCCCAACCAACCCCCAACTCCACAGTCGCCATCCAAACCACTACTTTCTCTGGTGCTTGTGTGGCTTCTTGCCCTTGCCCTTCTTTCGTGTCGTCTTCTTGCTCGCGCTGTTGTTGCTTGCACTGTTGCCTGCAAGGTACCCACGAACCTTCTCAAGCGCCTCCCTCGCGGACACGGCCGCACTGTCGTCAGGTTCCACCGCCCCATCGTAGATGGCAACAGCCCGCTCGAGGTATGGCAGTGCACCTGTGCTGTCGCCCATCTCCGTAAGCGCAAGCCCCATGTGGTGGCACACCATGGCCTCGTTACGGTGGTTGGCGCCCAGCGTGGCGCGGGTGATGCGCTGCGCCTGCAAGAAGCAATCTGCAGCGAGGTCGGGCCGGCGGAAGCGGCGGTATGCCATACCGAGGTCATCATACGACTTGATGAGGTCCAGGTGCGAGTCTCCTAGGAATTGCTTCCGGATGGTGAGGGCCTGCTCCCGCCGCGCAATCTCCTTCTCCACCTCGCCTGTTGTGAGCAGCATGAACGCATACGAGTCGAGCGACTCCAGCCCTCGCACGGACGTGAGACCCACCGTCTTCTCGCACACATCCAGCGCGCGCTGGTAGTACCGTGCGCCGACATCGGGCTCGTTGGTGAAGTAGAAGCAGCCGCCAATGCCACACAGGATGTGGACAGCATCCTCGTGCTCCAGCGTACCGTGCGTTGACTTGAGGACAGCGAGGGCCTGGTTGAATGTGGTGATGGCCGTGCTGTGGTCCTTCTGCGCCACAAGCACCGTGGCCATTTGGAAGTACAGGTCATATGCCTCCTTCCCCTTGAAGGATTTCTTCATCGGCCCAAACTGGGGCTTGTCAGTCTGTGGCAGTGGCTGCTGTTGCTTTTGCTTTTGCTTTTGCTGTTGTGCTCGCTGTGGCAGCTGTTGCGATCGCTGTGGCAGCTGTTGCGATCGCTGTGGTGGTTGTGGCTGAGTTCGTGCCTGTTGCTCAGGCTTTCGTGGCTGCTGTTGTGGCTGCTGTTGTGGCTGCTTTCGTGCCTGTTGCTGTGAGGACGACTGCTGCTGCCGTGGCTTTTCTTGTGACTGCTGTACGGAAGCCACCTTCTCCCTCACGCTCGAAGTCACAAAGACGCCGCTGGTCTCCAGTTCCGAGTCCGTTCGTATCGACCGCCCAATGCCAAGAAGCGCCATCTGCACGTGCGACGACAGCGAGAGGTGAGCAATGGCGTCGCTGGTGTCGTTCACCTCCTGATCCTCCACAAGCGCTGCCAGCGTGTCCCTCCACCAGTCCTGCATGAATTCCTTTGTGCGGGCGTTGAGAGCATCACAGCCGCCATCAGCTTCGATGGCAGCAAGGATGCTCGTCTTGTCCGCCTCTCTGCTTGCATCTGCCTTGGACACGTCCACGTTCACCATCCCTTTCAGATGGACACAGCTGGCGTCGTATTGAATGGCGTTGCACAGCGAGGAGCGCTGACGGGATGACAAGTGCACTGTGACGCCGACGCCGTCCTGGCTCAGCCCGCAGTGCATTTCCCACAGGCACCACGCACGGCTCAGTGGTACGTGCTTGCTCCAGTCCGTTAGCACGACAACCACCCTGCCAATTGAGGCAATGGCTGGCTTTAGTATCCCGCTCAACCTGCGACATGTGAAGGAAAAGGATGAGGAAGGAGAAACAGGAGGAGGAAGACAAGTGTGTGTGAGTGTATGAGTGCGTGCTAGTAATCATGGTTAGTGACTGTAGGACTGTGCATATGGCCGAAGGTACAGACAGCGTGTGTGTGTGTATTGTGTATTGCACACGCGTGAAGTGAGCATAAGCTTTGAGTCCCTGAATCATTCACAGAGCAGGCCCGCAACACCGCAAGACAACAAACACACCACTCTGGCGAGTGTACGTCGTCGTCGTCACCGCTTTCGTCACTCTTGCTGGTTGTGCGGTGTTGCTTGCGACTGAAGATGTCCAGCCAAAAGTAGTGCCGTGCAAGGGCCGTTTTGGTGTTGCTGCTTGCTGCTGCGGTGCTGCCCTTCTGATCCTGATTGCCGGAGGCGGCCTGCTGTTCTTTCTCTGTCTTCTTCGCCTTCTTCTGCTCTTGTCTGGCAAAGTCGATGAGCGCGTCCAGCACATCCACGATCTTGCAGCTCCAGGCGTGTGAGACGTAGACGGTCGCGGGGGCCACGTGCTCCTCGTTCCCGTCCTTCACCACGTCCACGTACGCACGTTGTCCTCCATTCCCTTCGTCTGCTTGCGTCTTTGGCACGATGAACGAATCGCGTGCGTGCTGCGTCGTCATCCGCGCATACTCTTCTGGAAACGCCTTCTTCAAATCAGCCCTCAGCCGCTTCAATGCGGCAACAGACACGCCACGAACGTCCATAGGTTGGAAGTGTGTGTGTATCTGTGAAAGGGTGTGATGCAAGTGAAGTGGGAGGGGGAGTGTGGTGTGTGTGTGTGTGTGTGTGTGTGTGTGTGTGTGTGTGTGTGTGTGTGTGTGTGTGTGTGTGTGTGTATGTATGTGTGTGTGTGTGTGTCAGTGGTGTTTGTTTATGTTGCGTGCAACCACAGCAGCAGCACAGGACGACACATGAAATGTGAACAGCACCATAAACTGTAGTCACACACGACCATCCCGACTGAATTAAGTCTTTGCTCGTGACTGCTGATCACCCACCGCCACCACAGCACATCACATCTCACTGTCGCTTCCTTTGTGTGTCTTGTTGTCTTGTTGTGTGCAATACAATCTTTTATTGTGTGTGAGTGGGGGGGGGGGGGGGGTCTTGAGCACCACTCCCCCCGT